TGGGGCACGTGTGTTTCCATTTCACGAGTCCCACCCTTCGGAGGGGTCATCTGGCCTGCCACCTGCGGCTGTCTCCCTGTGCTCTTTCGAGGTGATTTGCTCACCGCCTGTCCCCGCTGCGTTTGTTGTCTCGTTCGTGTTGAACTCGGGTCCGAACGTCAGGGATACCTCGTAGCGCTTCTTTCAGACCGCACCGTGGCAGCCTGGGAGGTAGGATGTTCTCTAGGCCTGCGGTTGTGCTGGTGACGTCTGTGACGTCTGAGGGTGGCAGGGGATCTCCGCACCCTTCCGCAGAGGTGGAGCGAGCAGCCGCGAGGAGGTTTGGTTAGCGGAGCACGGGGGGCCCCGGACCCCTTCCCGTGGTGGGTGTGCTCGCGTGGGCGCTCCTGTCTTCACCCAAGGCCTGGGTACGTGCTGGAGCTCACGGCTCGGTTTGTGTGAAGTGACTTTCTCTTGTATGTATTTACTTTTAAGTAATCTCTACACCCAGCCTGGGGCTCGAACTCACAACCTGGAGATCAGGACTCGCATGCTCCGCCCGCTGAGCCAGCCAGGCACCCGGGTTGCTTCTCTCTTTTAAACCGCACTTTCTCCCAAGAGGCACGACACAAAGCTGCCGGTGCCTCACTGGAATGATTTAGCCAGATCATTTTCCTGCTGGAGGGGCACGTGAGGCAGCTTGTTAGGAATAATGGCACTCAGCCTTTTGGTCTCAAGACTCTTTTATACTCCTAGGAACTGAAGACCCAAAGAACTTTCATTTGTGGGTTGTATCAGTATTTATCATATTATACATTGAAGTGAGACATTTTAAGCGTACTCATTCATTTAATAACATTAGTAAGTCACTTACATGCCAACAGTGACATTTTCAATGAAAAATAACTTCAAAAATTTAGTGAAAAGCCTGGCATTATCCGGCATGTTTTGTAACTCTCCTTCATGTCTGGCTCGGTAGAGGGCGGGCTGAACTCTCCCATCTGCTTTTGCAGTTAGTGTGTTACAGCGTGTTGTTCTGGCGAATGTATGTGAAGAGAAACCACTTTACACACATGTGTGGTTCAGGAAGGGAGGAGTATCTTCAGCAGCCTTTCCAGATAATTCTGGACATTGTGCTTTTAATACTACACCAAAACTTGACAAGGGGCACTTTTCTTCAAGTTTGGTATAGTGTGGCATCTGAAGCCATGTCAGTGAGCTACTTGAACTTTGCTTCACTAAAATGTGTTGGTCTCTCCTTGCACTTGGAATGGGCTTTTGAATGCCGAATATCAGCAGAGTCATGCAGATCTTCCAAATGCTGACATACTTCATGACACAGCATCAAAAAGTTGCTGATCTCATCAGAAAAGTCTTGAAGTATTTGGGAAACTGAGCTCTTGATGGCAGATACCAGCTTTCCAAGAGCCTCATCTTTGGTACAAAGCTTGGATTTTCTCGTTGGCACCAGCTATTGAAAGTCGTTTTCCTTGAAGGGACAGGCACGCTTCGTTTTCGAGACGATGTCTGCCGTCCAGCCAGGTCTGCGTGGCCGTGGCTTTTCTGTCGATTGTTCTTTCGAGAAAGTGGTGTTCCGTGAGAAAGTCCTAGCTCTGCTCACGACCCAGACAGTTGTACAGCCGCTTTCCTGGGACAGCAGGTGCCGTGCGCGCATTCGCATTTCATTGCGCCGAGTGTTCGGATGTGTCGTCAGGGGTCGAGGTTTAGTAAAATTAGTGATGGTTATGGCTTCGTCCAGGATATTAATAAGTGAAAATGGCCTTTAAAAAACCCTGCCGGTGTGCAGGACACCTGACACGGAGACCCCGCCCCGTGCTGCTTCTGCTCTGCTTTTTGGCCGGCCGGCCCTGCGGATCTCAGCATCCCCGCACCGGCACGGGGACGAACGTCTTGGGATTACCACGACCACGCCGTTGACCTGCTGGATCACCTCTTGGGTTGGGTGGTGGTGGTGGGGGGGGGGGGGGGGGGGGGGGGGGGGGGCTTCGGTCTGTGGAAGTGCTTTGAGCAGCCGGGTGTGGAATCTGACTCTGGAAGCGAGGCCAGTGTTGGCATGCCGGCCGTGGGGTCCGAGGGAGACCAGTCAGCCTTTCTCAGCCCTTGTCTGGGGGGAAGCACGGGCTTGTTGGGTGGGTTGTCGCGAGGACCAAATGGGAGAAGTAATGAAAGCGTGCCTTCTGCGGTGCCTGGTAGGGAGTAGGCACCGGCGCGGCCGTCTTTCTTTCCTTCCTGGGACCTTGTGACGCCACCGGAGCGGTGGGGGCGGGGAGGTGGAAAGGTCAGTCTTGCCCTAGCGCAGGCCTAGAATCCACATGTGGGTCTCTTGGCTCTTACTTCTCACTTGCCCTGTTTCCAGGATTGGGGACAAGAAGGAAAGGGAACAGCAGGTCTCTCTGAGGCTGTTTGTGGGTGGAAGGGCATTCTCAGGTTCTCTGGACCCGTCTGTCCGTTGTGTACATGTGATCCACCGTAGCTTGAACTAAAAGGCCAGCTTCTCTGAGGTGAGCAGTGTCTTCTGATTGCTGTCGTCTCCTGAGCACTGGGGGCTCTTTACAGATCATTCTGGTTCAGCCTCATCGGTCTCCACGGTGGAGGACGATGGGGGGCCGTTCACAGCTGAGAAAGTGCCGTCTCAAGGGCGAGGCAGTTTTTGCTCCTGGAGCCTGTGAGCTGCTGGAAATCTGAGTGTGGTCTAGGACACAGTTCTCTCCCTTCCTGTCCTGACAGAATAGCAAAGCATGACATTGTCACAGCCAAGTGAAACCGTAAATTCTCAAAACCTGATTCACATTACTTTTTAACAATGAACATCTGACAGTAGTTTGCAGACTGACCCAGCTTCAAAAAAGGTTGACAGCCCCCGTCCAAGAAGGATGACGGTACCTGTGGAGACATTGGCTCCTTAGTTTATAATGTGGGTTTTCCTCATTGTGGTCTTGGGGGTGGAAAAAGCATGATGGGAACTGAACTTTGAAAAGAAGAGTCTGTGCTGTTGACCCGTTGGTCTGGTCACTTGTCCCTTAGGTTAAATGTCAAGCCCACGTGTGGACTGACCCCCCAGGTCTGTCCTCAGGAGAGCTCTTGCCGGCTCAGTGGTGCCAGGGTGGGAGTTAGCTGCATCCGGGCCCAAAGCCACCAGTGAGGACTGCTCTTTCGGGAGGGAACCGTGCGCCTACACCTCAGTGGCCTGTGTTTTAAGTGACCTTTTGTTCTCCCCGCTGATGGTCATGCTGAATTTGGGGTACTCGGGACAACTTTGTTGGCTCTAGACTTGATGTCGTGTGTGCATAAGCCCTGACTTTTAAAAAGGTTTGCACGTTTATCGATTTTTGTCCTGAAGAAGTTTCCCGGTAACGCCTCCTGTCGCTCAGAGCACTCAGATGGGTGATGCAGGCCACGGGACCGCCCGGGTGACCGCCCGTACGGAAGCGTTTGAACGTGCCGTGCTGTCAGACTGCAGTGGACTTTCTGTGTCCCCAAGAGGGAGGGGACTCTGCCTCCGCAGCCTGAATGGCCGAGCTGTTTGCGTTTCTCCTGTCCATCGCGGTCCTTCGCGAGGTCCGTGGCGGTGCTCCTGGGGTGCAGAGTGTGCGTCTGCCTCATGTTGGAGCGACCGGTGTGGCCGAAGGGGGTGCTGGCTTGCACTTGGCTCCTCGGAGAAGTTGGGCCGCTTCCTGGCACCGTGGCTTTGAGGAAGTCGCTTCCGTGTGTTGCTCATCATTTGTAAGCTAGGGTGGAGGACGCGGGCCCCCTCTCGGGCTGCAGGGGCGGTTTAGAGGGGGGCTCAGAGGCAGGAGGACACTGGGGAGCGTTGCGCGGCAGAGGTGCGGGTGGAGAACGACGCGGCTTGAGCCCTTAGTGGGCGGGGACTCGGTTGCTGGCGGATGCCCGCCCGCTCTGAGCATCCGCTCCTTCGCGCTGTGACCTCGGGCGAGTCGGTTAACCTTTCTGTGCTTCGGTTTTTTCGCCTGCAACGGGCATTAAAATAACTTCCGGAGCAGTACCTACCTCGCAAAGACTAAATGAGCTAATAGTAGACCTGAAGTACAGCCCGGTTCCTGCACGTGGGAGATGCCGAGTCCACGTCGGCTCTTAGCATGGTCGGGACGCCTTTTCCTGCGTGTGAAGACGTTGTGTGTCAGAGAACTTAGCCAGGTGTGTGCTTTGGCCAGAGCCTTGTAGCAGATGCCGTATTTTAAAGCAGCTACTATTTGGGGTGCCTGGGTGGCTCTGTCGGTTAAGCATCTGACTTCGTCTCTGCTCATGATCTCACGGCTCATGGGTTCGAGCCCCGCGTCGGGCTCTGTGCTGTCAGAGCCTGTTTGGGATTCTGCGTCTCCCTCCCTCGCTCACGTTCTGTCTCTCTGTCTCCCTGTCTCTCAAAAATAAACATAAAAGAAAAATTAAAACAAAAATAAAGCTGCCACCATTTAACGAGGGTGGGTTCTAAGGAAGCCAGTGGGAACGGGAAGGGGCCTCCTCAGTGCAGTGGGCGTGACTTAGCCAAGGGAGCCTTTCTGGGAGGCCCCTCCAGGTTTGGGGAGAAAATGTGGGCTGTACCCAGGTGGTGTTTTCCCCTCGCTGAGAGTGTGCAGGCTGTGAACATTTCCTAACGTCCTATAGGCAAAATCGTATTTGAAGCACTCCCTTGAATGTCTTATATGGGAAATGGGACAGAGAAAAGCTAAAACTAAACAGTCACTTAAATGTCTCGGATTATCGTTTTACTTCCTGAAGAGATTGTTTGGGCGTGTTCTCTGGAGCACACCCGGCAAGTGCTGTTTCCGCCCGGTTTACCTGTCCCGCCAGGGCTGTGGCAGACGTGGCGTCAGGCGCACGGTGGTGAAAGGGCGGCTGGGGATCGGGGGGCCTGAATCCTCCGCCCCAGTCAGCTCTGCCACCACCTGCTGTCTGGCGTGGGGCAAGGCCCCCGGCCTTTCTGGACCTCAGGCTTGAGCCCTGAAAAGCCGAGAAGACGCTGGTCGTCTTGCCCTGCTTAACCTCACCTGGGCGTTAGGAGGCTCGGGCGAGAGCCCTGGTAAGCTGCTGTACGACCAGAATACGAGTTTGAACGTGACAAATGGCTGCTGATAACCAAGCTCTGACCCTCCTAATGAAATATTTTCTTTCCCAGTGATGTTACAGCCTTTCGATTATGATCCCAATGAGAAAAGTAAACACAAGTTTATGGTTCAGTCTATGTTTGCTCCAACTGACACTTCTGATATGGAAGCAGTAGTAAGTACTGAATGCTTCTTACTTGTTTGTTGTTTTTTTTTTTTTAGTAATTAAAAGAAAATGATTAGGTACAGAAGTTTGGGTGCATGCATTTCAAAATGTGTCAACATTGTTTTTAACGGGGAGTGTTGTTTTCAAGGAGGTTTGTACTTTGACTACCTTTGTGGTTTTTCTCAAACTTTGATTTTCACATTTTATGTAACTTTCCAGAATACTCTTCTGACTTTCATATCCGTTAGCTTCAGCACTTCCTTGCTCTGATGGATGGTATCTTAAATGTTTGAGGATTCCCTCCCCTTTTTGTGTCTCCCCTCCCATCCCCCACAGAAAAGGATACCTCTCATTATACGGGATGTTTCTTACCGTGTCCTCCCCATCACTCCCCCGAGAACCCAGAGGGACGTGAGAGAGTGGGATGCTAAATGTCCTTCGATGCTTAAGGGTTTAGTTTTTGCTTGTTTCTGGTAAGCATGGATTTCCCCCCTGCCTCCCTCGTTTCCCTCATTTTATTTTTCTCTGCTTCAATACGTGTTAAACTGTCTCTAATTTTGGTAAAAATAAGATGGCTTTGTTTTTATAAAACAAATAAGTGATACTATATTATTGGTTTTTCTGGAAAAAGATTATAATGGGAATTCTCCTGAAAATAGGCTCCTTACACATTTAAATGAATCAGCAGGCATTCTGATGCCACGGGAATCATGTGTGGATAACCTCCTGGGCCACCGCCCCAGCTAGGCCGGACTGGCCAGTCCTCACGGATGGGAGAGAAGGGCAGGGTTCTCTCAACGTTTCCATCACTTTCCAGCTCGCCGGCCCAGGCTAGGAGACTGGTCGCCTGAGGTGTGCCTGCAGACGTGAGACTGCGGTGGCTCACACGGCACTGTGGTTTTTCTCTTTCAAAACTCTGTGCCGAGGGCTTTTTATGCACAGCTTCCCGCCTCGTCCCAGTGTCACCGCTCGGCCTTTTCGGTCAGTCTTAGAAAAGCATTACTGGCCATCTCGGTGGATGTTCACGTTTGGGGCAGGAAATAAAGGGGAAGCCAGATACTTTGAGGTTCGAGAGAGATCGGTGATAATAGGCGATCTTCCCCTTTTCCTAAGAATGATTATTGGGGCATTTGCTACTTTCTCTTCTGTTTCCCACAACGTGATGTGTCACTTCACGTTGATTTGTGTGAGCGAGGAGATACACGGCAGATGGGACACTGGGGACTCCCAAGAGTGCGTTCTGCTTGGCTTTGGCTGCATGGCTCAGAGACCAGAGCGTGGGCTTGGGCGTCTGTGGTGTGGAGCTGAGTCCTGCCTTTTCCTACCGTTGTGGCTGCGGGCAGTTTTCATTAACTCTCCCTAGGGTCTGGTCACCTGTAAAAGGGGGCTAAAAACCCAAGTGACTCCGTTGCCGTGGGACCCAGCGTGCTGTGTGTCTCCGACACCGGGCACGGAGTCCAGAGTTGCCGTGTCTGAGGGCCGTCGTAGGCCAGGCCCCCGTTTCGCTCCCTTTAGGATGATTTTTATAAGAGTTAAAAATTCTTCTAGGGAATGTCCATTGTAGGAAGCTGTGGAAATACACACGTAAGCAAAAATAAAACCAAAAGTAACTAAAACTAAAAGATTTGTTTATGCTCGACCTAACCACTGTTTTTGAGAGCCTTGTGCCATTTCTTTAAACTATTTTTTTGTGTGTGGTTTGATGTACAGGAAGTAGAAAAAATTATATCGTGACTACTCACATAAACTTTGCCTAGATTTACCACCTAACACTTGGCCACATTTGCTTCATTTCTGTTGTAGACTTTTTTTCGCTGAACCGCTTGGTTGTAAGACGCAGGCTTCACGACTCTTCGGTCGTGCGTGCTTCAGGGCAGGGACAGTGCTCTGGCGTAGCCACAGCACTGTCCCCCTGGCTGAGAAAATTGGCGTTCATTCAGTCACATTATCTAGCAGAAAGACCCTGATGCAGCATTTTCCAGTTACTCCAGACTGGCCTTGAGTTGTTGTTAGTCTAGTAGAGTACTCTCAACCTTTTTTGTTTTCGTGGCTTTGCAGTTTTTAGAGTCCAGGCCAGTTAGCTTGTTGTACGCCCCACATTCTGGACTTGTTCGGTTATTTCCTCACGATCACATTCAGGTTAAATGCGTTTTGGCAAGAATATGCCGTAAGTAACGTCCTGTATGCACCGTGCCAGAAGGCACGGAGTACTGGCTCGTCCCTCCCTTGGTTACGATGGTGAGGTGACTGCCAACGTTCCCCGGTCCAAGCGCAGTTGCCCCTTGGGGAATAGGTAATCTGTGATACCCTTGAGTAATCAGGTACTTGGAGACCATGTGAACGTCCTGCTCGCCAGCAGTCTCGCCCTCACCCGGTGGTTGTAGCGTCCAGCGGTGATCCTTGCTTGATGCTCTTTTGACACACGCATGCACACACACGCACACACACGTGTGCTCGTGTGTGCGTACAGAGGAACAAACTTCAGATCTTGTTTCTAGCTTCTTCACTTAGCGTTCGGTGCAAGCAAACACTCTTTGGTAGCATTTGAATGGCGTGCGGTTCCACTGAATGGACCTGCCCCGATGCATCTGGCCGCTCTGATGTTTGGCGCGTTCCTGGCTCTTGCGACCACGGTTGCTCTGGCTGCCTCCTGCATGGTCCCGGGGGAGGGGGGAGTATTGTAAACTTCCTGCCGTGCTGGTCTGCACTTCTCAGCATGCCCTGGGATTCCTGTCCTCACTGCCAGAAGGAGGGGGATTGAGCCAGGAGCACATCATCCCAGAGCATGGATCTGATTTAGCCGGCAAGTTGTTCCCGCCAGCAGGCTGGAGGGAGTGGGGGGGCCACCCGGACACTGGCTTGCTAGCTGTGCCCCATTGGTAGTGGGCAGTGTGGTTCTGAATCCACTCCCAGGTAGTGTACGTTTCCTCTCTCTAAGAAGGGCGTATCCCGCAAAGTCCGTTTTATTTTCCTAAGGAGAGCCAAAGTTGCCTCTGGTCCTTCGGACATAATTTAGACAATTCCTCTTCCTCCGGTGATGGTCAGTCGTCTCTGTTCCATGTGCTTCCCATAGACTAGCAGCAGGGAGGACATTGGTTGGTGTGGAGGGATCAGGCGGCGGGACTGGGCTTGTGAAGCGTGATAAGTATTCGGGAAAGCTAGTGTGTTTAGTCTTGTCGTTAAAGCTACTGAAATCTCTACAGACGTAAGTTCTTTATTTGATATACATCAGGGCTTTCTCATTAAGAGTGTTTTTCTGAAATTGTCAGTTATAGGAAGAAAATTATTCCTCCGGCAGCTTTGTAATATCTTGATTATTAAATTTAAATTGTTTTAGTGGAAGGAGGCAAAACCGGAAGACCTTATGGATTCAAAACTTAGATGTGTGTTTGAATTGCCAGCAGAAAATGATAAACCAGTAAGTATGTTTATGGTTAACAATAATTGAATGTTGCAAGCTGATACATATTTGCATACCATCTCCTACAAAACCAAGATTTAAGTTGGCAAATTATTTTCCTTCCTCTGACGTGTGATGAAAAAAATAAGCTGAAGTCAACAAGTAAGCGGGCCTCCAGGAAATCAGCCTTTGAGAGGCTTGCAGAAAGACACCTAATTGAAACAATTTTTTTTTTCTTAAAAAGTGCAGCCTGTTGGCTGTTGGAATGTCCTAAATCCTAAAGCGCTTCTTTGACTTGGCAAAGTTATAGGTTGCTGTAAAACAGTGGGTGAGTCTGAAACAGGGAATAATTTGCCGTTGATCATGGTGCTTGACGGACAGGCTCTCGGGTTCTGTTCCACAGACCTCCGTCGCGGGTCTCCCTGTCCGTCCGCTCTTTCCCCTTCCCCCTCCTGCCTCTTTAGGGTTTCTCAACCTCAGCACTATTAACATCGGGGCTGGGTCATTCTCTGCTGGGGGCCCATCCTGGCCCTTGTAGGCTGTTCAGCAGCACCCCTGGCCTCTGCTCACTAGATACGAACAGTCCCCCCTCTCGTGTGACAACCAAAGGTGTCTCCAGACATTGCCCGTTGTGCATGGGTGGGGGCGGAATCATCGCCTCCATTGGGAGTCACCCCCCCTCCCCCACCTCGTGTTGCCGGAGGGGGTCGCCGAAAGGACCGGCTTCCTCCAAGCTGTCGACTGGCTTTTCTCTGGGAAGCCAAGGGACAAGCCTGTCATGGCCCTTGCCTGTGGCCAGTTGAAGAGAGAAGACTGTATCCGAAGTGCTGATTTGGACCTTCCTTCCTTCAACCTAGTCAGAAAAGCTTCAATTGTATTAAAAGCACTGTTTGAAACACACAGAATATTCAACTACCCTGGCTGTTAATAGCTGGAGTTGGGAAATCGAAGCGCTCACATTGTTAACATCGTCCACAGCAGCGTCCAGGGATGCTGTTGATAATGTGTCACCACTGCCTAGTATTTTCTTCCTGCTCAGTGACTGACCGCTGTCGTTATCCTGTTTCTCGGATGGGTAGTGGGCTGTTTTGTTTTTGCTTTTTTCTCTTCCCGCTGCACATCCCGGTAAGGTCGGCATCGCTGTTCGGCTCCCGGCCCTGTGCCGAGCCAGCTTTGTGGAGGCGGGGGTGGGGGGCGCCCTGGCAGGAACCCCTCCTCTCCTCTGGAAGACGAGGGGTCGAGCCCGAGGGTGCGATAGGGAGAGCTAGTCGTTTTCCGGGGGCCTCACGGAGCCCTCAGCACGCTGGTCCCTGCCTGTTCTATTTTCCCCAGCACACCTGAACATCCCCGCCCCGGGCACTCTCCAGAGGCCGTCGTGACCGTCTTGGCCGGGACGTGGGGGACGCGCACGTCCCTGGATTGAAATATCACAGACGCTGAGCTTGTTTCACCTGCAACGCAGCTTCAGAGTTCTGAGTTCGTGACATAAATCGCCCTCGGGGTCACGTTCTCCTTGGCCTCCCCCGTCCCCCCTCCCCCGTCCCAGCCCATCCTGGGGATGTTCAGGGCTTCCTGGTGACAGTAACTCGTGGCTAGTAACTCCTGAGCTTGTACGATTACAATATGCTACTGTTTGCATGGCGGGGATTTGCTAGTGCGGTATGCACGGCCCTTTTTCTCTTTCTTTGAAGTATTAGTCTCAGCCGAACTTCATTATTTGCCCTTATCCATAATTTCTGGGGCCCCGTTGCTTTAGATTATTAAGATACTAGATAAAGTGATCCGTTTTTAAAATAAATGTGACATTTTACAGTGTGGATGAAACACTACCACGTGTGGTGTTTGCTGAGAACTACTTTACTTTGCATAAAAAAGTCCTTTATTACATAGTTGGTGACACTTGGGCTTTCATTTATTTCTGAACAGCATGATGTAGAAATAAATAAAATCATACCCACAACCGCATCAAAGACAGAAACACCAACGGTGTCTAAAGCTCTGAGCTCCTCTTTGGATGACACTGAGGTTAAGAAGGTCATGGAGGAGTGTAAGAGGCTGCAAGGTGAAGTTCAGAGGCTGCGGGAGGAGAACAAGCAATTCAAGGTAATGGCTTTTTCTTCTTTTTTCTTGTCTTTTCTTGTTTTTTTCTTTTCTTTTCTCTTTTCTTTCCTTTCCTTTCCTTTCCTTTCCTT